AAAAAAAAAAAAAAAAAAAAAAAAAAAAAAGATAGGCAGGTGTTTATCAGATGGAAACCCTGGGGAGGGGGAATGCATCCTAGGCTATGGCAACTGCCTGTGCAGAGACGTCAGAGCTATAGAGGCATAAGAAAGCATCATGTGCTCAGCAAATTGTAAGTTTTTCACAATGGCTGGAACATAAATTTTGAGAAGGCAAGTGGCAAAAAGTTAGTCTGAGGAGGCAGATCATAAAGGGTCTGTGTGCATAATGATGGCAGTAGGGCGGGGATGGCAACAGGTAAGAAATTATCAGGGCCAGTTAAGTAGAAAAGAATGAGAGGAAGTGTAGCACAGAAAGAGGGCAGAGAAAAGAGAGGGAGCCCAAAGGTGGTATGGAGAAGGCAGTGACTGTCAAAGCATCCACCCATATGCTGATATGTAATGCCATCCCTCTCCCAAGGTCAAATCAGAATTTAACTAGAAAAGAGCTTTGTAAAGTGCCGTTCGTGTGGGAGAAAGTATTATTACACTGCATCTTCAGAAAGGTGTAGTGATCAAGAGCACGGGCTTTGGAATCTGACTGCTTGGTTTTGGAACTTGGTCTGCAATTTCTAGCTGTATGATCTTGGACAAGTTCACTTTTGCTGATTCATAAAATGGGGATAGTAATAGTACATACTTTATTCATTATTGTGAGGATAATATAATTATAGTGCTTAGAAAAGAGTTCATTCATTGTAACCAATCAGAAAGTGTTAGATTGTTTTACTCTTCCAACTGGCAATGTCCTTTTTACCTCCGTCATCATATTTCAGCAGCTCAGTGAAGCAGGGAGCGCAAAGAATATTATCCCCACCATATAGTTTTCTCTTTTCCTCCACCCCTTAGTGGCTAACATTGATGGTTCCTGGGGCTCCTCATGGGCTGCCTGAGTGCCAGCGATTCTCAGTGCATCAGAGACCCCGACTTAGCTCAGCTCAGCAATGCCCAGACTGACCACTGTATCTGCCCCTTCTTCTCCAGGCTTCCGCAACTTGCACGTGGACGACCAGATGGCAGTCATTCAGTACTCGTGGATGGGGCTCATGGTTTTTGCCATGGGCTGGCGGTCCTTCACCAACGTCAACTCCAGGATGCTCTACTTCGCCCCGGACCTGGTTTTCAATGAGTAAGCACTCCTGGGCCCAGGCCTCATAAATACAGAAGCCTTGCCTGACCTGACTGGTGGTGATGGTGATGGGGGTGACAGTGGAGATTAGCTCATTTGACCTGTAGGTGAGGCATTGGTCCAGCCAGTCAGTCTAGTCCGAGGTGGCATTGCCCCAGCCGGAAGGCCAACTAGTGGGAGGCAAGGGAGGTGGTGCTGAGGCCATCTCTTTCCCACGCAAGACCTAATCCTTGTATATTGACCAGGCTTTGGACCTGCTTTATAGCTTATCTCAGAACATCATGTAAAGGTCCCTCCCCTTCGCTCTCAACAATATATGGAAGGAGCAGAGAGACTCTAATTGTGAAGACTGAAGTTCCTTTTGTCCCATTGCTACCACCAAGGACTGCCATCAGTCACCATTTGTTGAGCAACCACTTTGTGCCAGGACTATGCTAGATACTTTCTGCATCCTATCTCATTGAGTCCTCATGGTAACCTGATCTCCCCTTTTTATACATACTACTGTTTTTTGTTGTTGTTGTTGCTATTACTGCTGCTTTTGTTTAATGGATGAAGAAAAAAAAGGCTCAGCAAAAAAAAGTGACTCAACCAAAGTTACACAGCTAGTGCATTTTGGAGACAAGGCCCAAATGTATGTCTGTCTCACTCCCAGCTCTTCTCCCACCTCATGGTGCTAACTAGTGGGGAGGAGCAGCTCTGCTACTCTCTGGCTGTGTGACCTTGGCCTTACCATTACCCTTCTGTTAAACAGGTTTAATTAATACCTGCCCTGCCACCAGCTCTATTCATCCTTCACGAATTTGGCCAAAGGCTCAGATTTTGGAATTTCACTTATCTCCACTAAAATCTCAATTCTACTGTTTCCTACATCATCATCTTCCATGACCCTCGGTTTCCTCATTTGTTAATAATAATAGAACCTTCTTAAGTGGAAACTGATGGATGGAGAATGTCTGGCCCATAGTAGACAAGAAACAAAAAAGAAATACCTTTCTGATTCTCCCTTTCCCTAATTGTGATAATCTCTGTGTTTGCGGTTTGAAGTCCTTCGATGGCATTGTAAATGGAACTTGCCAGAAAAATCTTCCCAAGGACCTTCACCTAGTCTCACCACAGAGAATTCTTTCAGTCAGGGCAGGAACTGACCTTCCCTCCCCTTCAGCCCTCTAACCCAGAAGAGCCTTAAAATAAAATCTGCAGGCCAGTGGTTCCTTCTAGTACAGCAGTGCCATGCAAGGGAGAGTGAGCGTCCCCAGATGCCCTCTCCCATCGCAGCCAGCCCTGGTAGCCAGAAGCTGAAAATAACCACTGGGCTTTTGGCATGACCTGCTTTGCAGTTTCCAGACCTCCAAAAGTTGTCTATGATTCCATCTTCCGGGGCAGGTTTTAAAAAGCCCCCTCTCTGCTTATCTCCCACCCCTAAACCTCTGCTGCCCTTGAGTGATTGAATCAACTCCCTGAGCACCTACTCCAACTTCTCCAGAGCCCTGAGAACTTTGGAGCTTTGCAAGGTGTTAATTAGCTATTTTCTAAATCTTCATTTCTTTCTCTGCCTCTGAGTAAACATGTGGCACCCCACCTTAGTTTTCTAGCCCAGTCCCATCCTTCTCATCAGTAGGTGCCACAGGGCTCCCCACAAGATCAGGGGCCTTAGACCCACCAAGCCCCAGGGTTCCTGAAACAGTGGGCCCACTTCCTCCTGTAGGAACCTACTCTGTTAGAGTTCTAAGGGTGCCTACATGCACCTAGACCAGTGTTTCTCAACATGAATGCTGTTGACATTTTGGGAGGAATAATTTTTCATTGTGCAGAATGTTCTTGCATATTGGAATATGTTTAGCCTCCCTGGCACATGCCCACTAAAAACGAGATAGGATTTCAGTCACTCTCACAGTCCAAACTGCCCCCATACATTCTAATGTTCATTGGGGAGGCAGTACTCCAGTTGAGAGCCACTAGTTACTGCCAGCCTCCTCAAGGAAGGAAACTGAAGCCCAAAGAGAAAAAATAGGGACTTGTCCAAGCTGGACCACCTTGTTTTCTGATCTGACACCAAACCCTGTCATCAGTCCTTTTCTCTTTTTCCTTCCCTCCTTGTGGAGAGCACATTTTGTGTGACCTTGAATAAATTGCTGAACATCTCAGGGCCTCAAATCTCATCTGTAGAATGGTCAATAGTATCATAATAGCACCTTTCTATGTGTCATTTATTGAGCACTTACTATGTGCCAGGCACTGTGTTCAGTGTTTCCCAGTCTTAATTTCCTCTCTCATCCACTCTCTTTTATTCCTACCTACCCCTGCTCTCCTCCTGAATTCCATTCCTGCCCCTCTTTTTCTACGTTCGATGTACCTATCCCTTTCCTTCCTTTAACTTTGTCCCTACTCTTTTTGCCGTTTCTTCACCCTTCTTGTTTTCCTTCCATCTGAATTCCTTCCCTTGCCTTTCCCCTTCCTCTTCCATCCATTCCCTACCTTCTCTGTCCCTGGGCCCTGTGGCAATGTTACTGGAATCCTCCATGCCAGGACCTTGATTTCAATGGTAAACAGACTACAGTGTTGTTATCAACAGAGGCACGGAAGTACAATGAAGACCAGAGCAGGGCCAGGCCCCAGGGTCAGCAGATCTTACTCAAAAATTCTCTAGGGTGAAAGAGCTCGGAGCAACATTGTTCTGGTCAGTTGACTTGTGATTACGTCTAAAACTTCCTCTTTCCAATTGGCCTTCAGCATAAATCGAGTAATTCTACACCATCTGACCTCTTCCTACTATCTCCGGGACAGCCAAGATCACTCTGAGATAGGGTCCTGAGCTTTCACTCAGGCAATACCAGGCCTGCTCAGCCTGTGGACCAGCCTATTAGTGGCTTGGAAACCAAAACATTAAACTACAGCCTTTAGGCTCCATCTGGGAGGTCTTTGTTCTTACCATCTAAGTGGGTGTGAAATTCCCTTTCCCTTCTCCACATGCTACACAATCAATTACTATCTTACAAACATAGACACACACGCACACACACACTTGATTTCAGAAGTGCTGAAAACTGTAAGGTGTACCAACAAGAGGATGCTGTGTCTTCTCATAGAGGCATGCCATGGCCAGTCATGGAACAGGGAGGTTGCTCCCCCTGAGAGGCTGTCCAAGCCTTAGCCATTTCCCCATATAATTTATAGGTGATAATGTGATGATCTGTTCACAAGTCACTATAATAAAAGCAGCTCACACATGTCTACGGCTCCCAAACTGTGGTAAGTAACAGCCAGTATACAAGGAAGTGGGATCCCCTTAAGCAGGAGACATTTAGATTAGACATTAAGAAATACTCTCTGGCAGATTTGTGAAGAATTGGAACTCGTTTTGAAAGGACAATGTGGAATCTCCTTCACTGGGAGTTTTTAAAGAAATGATTAAATTTTTAGAATGGGAAATTGCATTCAAGCCAAGAGGTAGGGAAGTTGACAGAATGAACACCTGTGGTCATTGTGAATCCTGGTATACTTATGTTAAGAGCTGATTACTAGGGCCTCTCTCCTAGAAATCTTCCAAGCCAGGCTGCCTGGGAGGCAGGTTCTGGCTCTGACTGTAGCTGGGATATTAGAACTGTAGTTAGGGAGACCATGTGCCTGCCCCATTGTGTTCGTTTGGTTAGGCTTTCCTGTCCCTGTCTCAGGAAACAGAAGAGACACAGAGACTTGGAAATTCCATGTGCTAACCCATATCCTGGCCAGGAAAGATGAGTAGTGATCAGGATGTGAGGATTTGGGGGGAAAACAAAGAAAAGAAAAAAAAAAAGAACTACCGTGTTTTTTGTTACTAAAGCACCAGCTGGAGAAACAACAATCTCTTCTTGGAGAACCTGGAGAGGGAGGGCAACCAGAGACATTCCCTCTGGGCTTGTTGTAAGCCTCTACTCATTCCTCTTCTTCCTTTGTGTGTTTGCTTCACAGGTACCGCATGCACAAGTCCCGGATGTACAGCCAGTGTGTCCGAATGAGACACCTCTCTCAAGAGTTTGGGTGGCTCCAAATCACCCCCCAGGAATTCCTGTGCATGAAAGCACTGTTGCTCTTCAGCATTAGTAAGTGCCTGGAGGTGCAGGGAATGCCCACGAGGGTACAGCGGCTCAGAGGGGGGCACTTTTTCCATTGAAAGGTTATTGGGGAGAAGCCAGCTCCCTTCTTTCCTCTTCCCCACATCCACTCTACCTCAGCATCCTTTTTCTTAACAAGGACCAGTTTCCTGACTAGAGACCAATTTCTTTGCTATAATTCAGCCTCCATCAGATCCTTACCTACTCCCAGTCTCTCTTTGGGACAAGGCCATTTTTGGCTGCTTGTAGCAGGTCTCTGAATTTTTCCACAGCTTCTGTGATAGAAATAGGCACGGACCACCTTGTATTCCTTGCAGGGCAGTAGGGCAGGAGAGATTGCATCCTGGAAGGAATTTCCTCTCCTGCCAACAGAAGGAGGTCTATGTAAGCAACTCAGACAGGGTTTGTTTGGCAGCTAAGGAACCTTTCTTTAATGTCTCTTCTAAGCAGAGTGCTTTCTTAGCCTCTGTGAGGGAGAAAGGAAGCAAAATTTGGTATTCAGAGCTGTGGGTTTTAATTGCATAAATCAGTGCTAGACTATGAACGACATAAAATCTTAGGTCCTAAGAAATGCATACACGAAAAGACTACAAAAAGGAAAGGTTCAGTAAATTATATTTACTTGACTCCTTTCGGATTGGGTCCAGCTCTCCTTTTCCCTAAGATCTCCCTGGGAGACTGAAAGCCCCAGGCACACATACTTCAACTGACAGGAAGCCAAGTAGATGGTTCCCTCCCTGTGGGGGTGGGGGTCAAGTTTGTGGTCAGAAAATTGGTGCTTTGTCTAATGCTCTTTCGTGGGCATACTTCCCCTCCCCATTCTGTCTTCATCATACATCAGTTCCAGTGGATGGGCTGAAAAATCAAAAATTCTTTGATGAACTTCGAATGAACTACATCAAGGAACTCGATCGTATCATTGCATGCAAAAGAAAAAATCCCACATCCTGCTCAAGGCGCTTCTACCAGCTCACCAAGCTCCTGGATTCTGTGCAGCCTGTAAGCAAATGATGGAGGGTGCTTTATCAGGGAGAGCAGCCTGATACAGCTAAGTGATAATATGCTCCTCTAGGGTCTGGTACCACCTGTCAGGGGGTGCTTCCATTCCCCTCTGGCTTTGAGTGTGGTCCAGAAAGAAAATGCTGTGCAGCAGAAAGGAACACAGGTCACAATATCCCAGCTGGATGCTGTGAAAAGGGTGGAGGAGTTGAGAACAGAGCGGTTGGGACTCAGGGAAGGGGCTTAGAGCAGATGGATTCTCTAGGCAGACAAAACAGACCTGGATGTTTTTCCTCTCCTCCTTGAGCATGAGTATGTGTATGTGAGTTTGTGTGTGTGTGTGTGTGTGTGTGTGTGCGCGCGTGCGTGTGTGTGTGTGTGTGTGTGTGTGTGTGTGTGTGTGTGTGTTTGTGGCTGCCCAGGCTGGGCAGAAGGGCTTCTCTAAGAAGATAACACTGAGCTGAAGGATGGATGAAGACAATCAGCCAGCCATGGGGAGAGCTGGGGAGGGGGTCCCTGGCAGAGGGCACAGCATGTGTAAAGGCCCTGAGGTAGGTTCCAGGGGCAATGAAGAGGCTGGCAGGGTTGGGGCAGGGTGAGCGAGGGGAGATGGAGAAAGGTGAGATCTGGCAGTGGGCAGTGGCCAGGATACACTGGGTCTTGGGGGCTGCAAAGACGGGTGTGCACTTTGTTCTAAGGGTGCTAGGAGTCAAGGGGAAGGTTGGGAATAGGCAACGGACAGATTTAGGGTTTGTCTTAGAGGCAGGACGTGGGGTTGCAGCCAGGACCAGCAGACCACAGGGTCTCAGTGACAGTGGTCAAATCGAAAGGGAGTCTCAGACTCCTGCCGAGCCCTTCCCCACCTAGGGCCCCTCACCAGGCCCTATATCCCCACCCCAGCCTCTCCAGGAAAGGAGCAATGAATCTGAGGCAGGTTGATGAACCCTGCAGCTGAGACGCCCAGAGGATCCCCCCACCCCCTCCTACAGCTCTAGGAGCTCCCCGTCCTTACTCCAACCCACTCTGGATAAGGGAGGGGCAGCTGGGCCAGGTCCCAGGAGTCAGGGCTCTCGGAAGCACCCCCTCATCTGACCCATTGGCAGGTGCTGTCGACTGCTCCCCACGGGACCTGTCTTGTCTGTTTCACCCCCAAAGCCAGCTGGGCCCCCCATAGTCCCAAACCCAAACACCCAGCTGCCTCCACTGGCATCCCCTGGGAGTCATGTGATACTCAGGCGAAATCAGAACCTGCCCAGAGAGCGATGCTTTCCCCCCAATTTTCCCCATCCAGGTAATTATGTCCCCACCCACCCAGGTAACTGCGACTTCGAGCTTTATGGGACATGATTAGTCACACATAATAAACACTAGTTACCCTTGAATCCTCTCTCCCTCACACCCTACAACCATGGCCCACCTCTCAGCCTTCAAAATGTGTCCCAAATCTACTCATAGCCCCCACCATGGTCCACATCCCACTGGGATGTTGCCCCAGCCTCCGCCCTACCCCTGATAGTTCCTGCCTCACACCCAGGCAGTCCTGCAGGTTTCTTACAATCACAAAGCAGGTCACATCCCTCAAAAGCTCTCAACATTCTCCTGGAGTCAAATCCCAATCCCTCACCCTGAGGTCCTGCACCTTCCTGCACTCCGGCCTTCCCAGCAACTGTTCCCACCTCAGGGCCTTCACAGGTGCTGTTCCTTCTGCCTGGTATGCTGTTCCCCTAACTCTCTCCTGCCAGCTCCATCTCCTCTTTCAGGTCTCAGCTCAAATTCACCTTCCCAGAAAGGTCCCTAACCACCCCCATGCCTCTCCAGGCCCTTATATGGTTTTATTTTCTTTCTAATACCGTGTGAACTATCTTTTTGCATTTGTTGAATGAATAAATGAACACATGTGAATGCGGGCATGGAGTTCTCCCATCTGGAACTCGGTTTCCCCATGCAGAAAATGGGCAAGTGGCATCTCAGTGGGCCTTCCATTCTGGGATGGACCTGCTTTCCCGAAACACCCCACCCCACCCTATGCCTTCCCCACACTGCTGGCTGGCAGAACCCTCCCCGGGGGCCCTCACAGTTGGACACTTAGATTTCTGCATAGAATTCCAGTGCCCCTGAGAGAGGGTGGGGACAGTCGTGCTCAAATGTGGGGGACAGTCAGGTATACTGGGTCCTAGAAGGATCAGATCTTGGCAAAAAGCTGGAGTGGGACTGAGCCCAGTGGTGGCCCAGCTGTGTGACCCTCAGCAGGTCATTTCTTCTCCAAGCTTTATTGTCCTCCTCTGTGACACGGAGTGAATGCCCCCTCCCCGCCGCCTATAAGCAAGGAAAGGAGCCATGCCGTGTGCCCGGCACAAAGCAGAGGCACAACTGATGTTTATTCTTTCACCCTCTTCCCACCCCCACCCCTTGCCCAGGCTCTGGCCCTGATTATCGATGTGGTCTTGGACCTCAGTTTCCCCATTTGAAAGTTCAGTCTGATGGTGGAGACAGACTCATTTGTGAGACTCAGGGGCAAAGCAGGAGAAGGCTGGGCCATCCCTCTGAGCCCCACCTTTTTCACCTCCCCATTTGTCCCTCTGGCCCCCACGACACCTACCCACAGCTCTGTGAGTTCCAGTCTTGCAGCCCCGTCCTGGGGTCAGCACCGCGGACAGCTCCCAGCCTGTGACTGGCGCGCGTGGGTTTCATCGTTTGATTATCAACATCCCTGAGGGTGGGAGCCGTTTTCATCTCCATTTCACAGATGGGAAAACTCATGCTCGTTTGCCCTAGACCATGCAGCTTGGACTGAATCCAGATTGTTGCTCATGTTCCGGGGTCCTTGGTGCAACCCGATTCTGTTTACTTTTTTGTTTGTTTGTTTGTTTTCCTTTTTGTCTTTTTTCGTGACCGGTAACGGGATCGCAACCCTCGGTGTCGCGCCCGCACCGCGCTCAACCAGTGAGCGGACCGGTCTCTATATGGGATCCGAACCCTCGGCGGGAGCGCCGCCGCGCTCCCAAGCGCCGCACTCCACCGAGTGCACCACTGGGCCGGCCCCTGTTTACTTTTTAAACGTCTCCAGCATTTACTCAGAGCCTGCTTGCAAACACCATCTCGTTTAATTTCCCAAATTCAGTCCTTCTTTCAACAAACGAGGCACTGAAGTTCAGCATCCACAATCGTATTTATTTAGCGATGACAACCTTGGGCTAGTTAACCTCTGAGACTTTTCTCATTTGTAAAAAAAATAAAAACAATGATAGCAAATGGCCTCACTGTGTCCTCGTGAGCTAATTCATGAGGGACTCTTGCGACAGCATTTACATGGAGCGAGTGTGCAAGAAATGTTAGTCCTTAGTACTGCTGCTATTATTCACTTGTTTATTTACTACATGTTTTATTTTTGTAGTTTAATAAATAGTATATTATAATAAGACATGATAGAATGCCACTACAGTGCATATTACTGTGATAAATAGCATTAAATAGTATATAATATGTTATAAGTAATGAACATACTGTTAGCTAAGTAATATTTCTGCAATGCCTACTATAGAGCAGGCGCTATTTATATTCACATCCCCATTTCACAGATGAGGAGACTGAGGATCAGAGAGGTAAATTCACCCAAGAGAAAAGTGGGACTGAGATACAGCTCTTGGGGCCAGTCCAAGTATCTGGCTGAGAGCTTCATGGACTCAGCGTTCTAGTGACGTCCCATGCCTAGGAACTTGCTCACGTCTTGCTGGTGTCTCCCCAGTGGGTCTGGGAGTCGGAGGACTCTGGCCTGGTCCCTCTGAGCCCCCTCGGTGGTGGTGTCATCTGGACACGCTTCTCAGGGACTCCATTGCTGCCATCGCTGTCGAGCTGCCTCAGACCCCCTGGAGAAGTCAAGCCCAGTGACCACATGGTGTTTATCATCGAGGCTGGTGGGACAGAGCAATGCCACAGCCTGGCTGCAGGCAGGTGAGGAGGCAGATGGGGATGGAGGGGCCAGAAGACGAGGAGCACCTTGTCTATCTGAACCTCTCCTTACCTTGTTCAGAAGGCACTTCTTAAGTAAGCTCCTACTATGTGGCAGGCCCTGTACTGGGGACACAGCCATGGACAAGGAGGAGCTCACAGTCTGATGGTGGAGACAGACCCATCCCTGATGGAGAGAGCACAGGGTGATCCTGCTGTAATGGAGAGAGATCAGGCACTGTGGGAACCCCCTGGTGGCTTCTGGCCCAGCAATGTATGGGTGGGGGTGGGTGAGAGGACTGCTTCACAGAAGTGTTTCCTAAGCTTAGTCTGAAGGATGAAGAGAAGCCAACCAGGGGGAGTGCAGGGAACAGTATGCCAAGCAGAAGGAACAGAATGTGCAGAGGCTCAGACTCAAGAGGATCAGGTGTATGAGGAGCTGAAACAGAACATTGTGGCTGGAGGGTGGGAGGGGATCCCAGGGAGGAAGGCAGGGGTTGGACCACAGAAGACTTCATGGGGTGTAATGGAGAGTGATGGGTCATTTTTCAGGGGAAGGAGTTAATCATATGGGCATTAAAAAAATTCCCTGTCTCTGCTGTGGGGGAGAATTGACTGTCAGGGACAGAGGCAGCAGAACAAGGTGAAGGCTTGCGCAGTGATTGGGCAGGAGATGCTGCCAGGGTGGGAGCCACAGGCAGATTTGGAAAGATATTTACACAAAGAAGACACACCAGTCATTGGTGGATGCCAGAAGGTGTGGAAGAGGAGGGACTGGTGTGGATGGTGCCCGCTCTTTGACCCTTCATGTGTGACATTTACTGTAATCCTTGCAACGATGCCAAGAGATGGGGACACCACCATTAACTCCATCTTTCAGAATAGAAAACAGGCTTTGGGAGGGGAAGTGATAGAGCTGGCCTGTCACCATGTCCCTTGCCACTGGGCCAATTTGTCTCCCATTCAGTTTGGGGGGCAGGGGACTGACAGAGAGGGGAGGGACTGAGACATCAAGTAAAGAACAGAAAGGGAGTCACTTGTTATGTATTGCACAGCAAGATGTGGTGGTACTGGGGTTTGAACTCAGTCTCTCTGACCTCCTGACCCAAACATTTGCCATTTCTTCAATCAGCAGACGTGGCAGGGGTCGGGGGGAGATAGTCTCCATGGAAAATACCCTCTTGAAAGCTTCTGAGCTCTCCAAAAAGATCAGGGCTCTTCCTGACCCCCAAATCTGCTGCACCAAGTGGCCCCCTAGCAGCCCCAAATGCCTCCCTGCCCCATCCCAGAGCCCACATGGGGCCTCCACCGGGTCGTGACTCTGGGAGTACAATGTCCTGCCTCCATCTTCCCCGCACCCACCTGCCCAGCCCTGCTGTTGTTACGTCTACTTTTGTTAACCACGATGGAAAATGTTCTCATCCTTCCTTGCCACTTCCCAGGAAATTACCCTTGAGACTAGGATGCCTGGTGGGTGGAAAGTTGAATTTCTAGAACTGGGAAGGAGGAGCAGGCTTGGGATGTGAGGGCAGGAATCGTGGCAGTGAGGTGGGGCCTGGGGTGTCACAGGGCGAATGAGATCCCACCATTTCCGCTGAGGGTCTGAACGTTGGTGTGGCTATAAAAACACAAGGGTCTCAGAAATGCCCCTGCTGCTTGCCCTGAGCGTCCACAAAAGGTGGGTTTTCTTCTTGCCAGCCCACCCCCAACTTGGCTGCACCGTGGCTTTGGGGTGGGGAGGGTCTTAGAAGCAGGACTAGGATGTTTGTTAGAGGGACCTGACTTCCCCACTCTGCCCACTCCCACTAGTGGCTCCTCCGAGCCCTGGCCAGAGGCAGCCTCTGTGTGCCCACCCCAGACACGAGAGGGCCCTGGCATAGCCCTCCCTATTTCCCTGTCCTTCCCGGATTCCTGCCTGCGTGAGTGGGGGGTTTGGGGCTCCAAAGAGACCCCGTAAGGGGCTGAATGACTGAGCCTACCTTCCTGAGGTTGGCGGAAAGAACGCCATCTGCGCATACCTTCGAAGACCAGACCCCCTGACTCTGCTGTCAGACTTCTCCTCGCCGCTGTCATTGGGAAGGGTTGAAGACCCGCTACTGATCAGCTTTCAGCACCTCCTGGGCGAACGGCGCCCTGGTCTGGGGGTGCTCCCGAACCCCCGTCTGCCGACCCTGCTTTCAACACCAGAAAGCTCCTCGCTGTCTCATCCCCAGGAGCTCCTCAATCGACCTTCTTCCTTTTCAGCACCAGCGGGAGGGACAGCGCCTCGGCGCCGGGGGGGTCTCCCTGCTCTCCATTCGGCGCCGACCAGGACAATTTCTATCTTCCCCACTCCAAGTCCTTGTCTTGACTCTCCTATCCAGCACTAGAAGGGACGGCAGACCGTTCTCTGCCCCGGGGGACTCCCCAGCCCCTCTTTCCAGTCCCCGCCCCCCACGTTCGTCTTCCCGCTGCTACCCTTCAGCGCCGTCTGGGCACCGGCAGCTCCTCGGTGCTGGCCCCACCTCGAAGCCCAGCTTCTACTTTCTCCCGCCTCAGCACCCCGGCGCGGACAGCTCCTCGTGTCCCCCCTGCACACCGCCCCGGCCCGCCCCGGCCCCGGCGCCCCGCTCTCCCGCCCTTCTTCTCTCGCGCATGGAGACCTCGGGGGTCGGCGAAGGGTCGGAAGCAGACAGCAGGTTGAGTTGCCCTCGCAGCCGCCAAGGCACAGCCAGACAACCGAAGCACCTGTGGCGGCAGCCCAGGCGCCCCATCCACATCCAGCAGCGGTTCCATTCGGACCCGGACAAGTCCACGGGTCGCCGCGAGCGGGACCGGAGCCCGCGGCCCGGGCTGGGGAAGTCGCGGCGCTCCTGGCCCACTTCCTCCCACAGGCGGTAGGTGGGCGGGGGCGGGCCTCCTGCGCTGTGGGGGAGGGGCGCGCGGGGCCTGGCGGGAGTGGAGGAGGGTCCGTGCTTCACCGGGGGCGGGGGTCTCTGCTGCTTAGCTGAGGCCGGCGCTCTGGAGGAAAAACTGTGTCTGTGCAGGTGGAGATGGGGGTGGGGGTGGTCCCAGGTGCGGCTGGGTGTGTTGTGTGCGTGCATGAGAGCAGCAGATGCGACCCGTATATGCTGGGACCTGTTGTGTGAGTGTCCACAGCCAGCTGTGTCTCTGTGGGTGACTGGCTGTATTTGGGTGTGAGCCTGTGTATCCACGCTTGCGTGTAATTCTGTGTATTTACGAGCAGTCGTTTACGTGACTGTATGTTTCCTCTTGTAGTCCCTCAGGGTGTGACTGTCCTCAGTCTGACCCAGGTGTGTGTCCGAAGGTTCTCCCACCCCTGGAATATCCTCAGTTGCTTTGCGGAGGGGTGTTTGTGGTCACTCTGAGCACCCGAGGTGACCCTGGGGTGCTCAGAAATAGGTATATAAGAGGGCCAGAGTGCACTGCCACCAGTGCTGGGGGAGGAGCCTCCTCTGTGGCCTGCCCTGCCACTCCCTTCCGCCAACCCCTGCCCCGCCCTGCTCAGCCTGCAGAAGGAGGGGAAGCCCCTCGGGGAGCCTGAACACAGGATGTTTCTTCCACATAAGAAGGGAGGGGCTGCTCCTCCTGTTTCATATAAACTTGGTGGCGGGGAATAAGACAGAGACTGAAGAGACTCACGGAGAGGTGAAGTAGGATCCCAAGGGGGCCAGACATGGAGCTATCCAGCTGCTGGGCTGGGGGCTCAAGGGCCAAGGACGAGGGCCCAGGGATCCCAGGTCCCCCTTGGGTTGGAGGAGGAGCCCAGCCAGGCCAGACCAGAGCCCGAAGGTTCAAGCCCAGGCTGGGTGACCTTGACAGAGCTGTTTCCTTCTCTGGAGCTTTGTTTTTTCTCCAGTCTTGTCTATTGACTTGATTGACAAACCTGGCCTGGTATCCCCAGCCTGGACCACCAGCCGCCTGGAAGACGTCTGGGGTGGATGGGCTCCACGGCCCAGAGGGGTTGGAGCTGTCTGCAGGTGACCCAGCAGGCCGCTTGCTGCCGCCCCCCCCCCCCAGCTCTTAGCTCCTTCCGCTCCACCCTTCCCTGTGACTCATGATTTTCCACTTTCAAGAAAGAACAAACAGAGACTTGGTTTGGGCCTGTCTAGGGGGAGACCCCACGTGGCTCTGGGAGGCAGAAGGGGTGGATTGTGCATCCTTGTGTGTGTGTGTGCATGCACATATTGGACTACACATCATGTGCACTGCAGTCATGTAAATGCCTGTGGCCGGCCCGGGCATATATGTGCTGATGTGAGGGGAGCAGCTCACCCACTGAGGAAGCTGAGAGAAACCCGGTTCAAGGCCAGGCCTCAAGTGCTCCTGAGCAAGTGCTGATGCCTCGCTGAACCTCAGCGTCCTCGTCGGTGAGATGAATGTTCTGTGCTTCAGACTGGCACTCATTAGGCCCAGCTTGTGAACTGTGGGGACGCTGTGTCTCTCCACAGTCCCAGATGGATCATGTGGGTCTGGAAGGGTCCAAACATATTGTTTGGAAAGCATTTATTAAGTACCCACTGTGGGGCAGACCTGGTACTGAGGATAGAGCCATGGACAGGAAGTGCTCACAGGCTGATGGTGGAGACAGACTCATCCCAGGTGGAGAGAGCACAGGGTGATCATGCTGTGATAGGGAGAGATCAGGGCACCATGGGAGCACAGAGGAGGCTCCTGGACTAGCATCGGGGGGTGGGTGGGTAGATGAGTAGGGAGGACTGCTTGGAAGAAGGGGCACCTAAGCTTAGCCTAAAGGATGCACAGAAGCCAACCAGAGGGAGTGCAGGGAAAGGTATGCCATGCAGAAGGAACAGAATGTGCAAAGCCTCAGACTCAAGAGGATCAGATGTATGAGGAGCTGAAAACAGATCAGTGTGGCTGGAAGGTGGGAGGAGAGGTTCTCTGCTTGTGCCACAAGCATTCATTAGGCACCTACTGAGTGCTGGGTCTTGAGGGAACAGCTGGGAGCAAGGCAGACCTAGCCCTGCCCTAGAGGGACTCACAGGCTGGGGGGCAGGGCAGACACAGATCAAATAATCATGACAATAAATGTAAAATTGTACCTGTGACAGGAGGATGCTCTGAGAGTACTTAACCAGGCTAGTCAGGGAGGGCTTCCTGGAGAGGGTGACACTCAGGCTGTGACCCAAAAGATAAAGCCTCAGCAGGGGGGCATTTGGACAGGGCCATGGGGTGAATCAGCTGGTAAGAGCCTGGCTGGTTCAAGGAACAGCAAGGAGGGGGTGAGGCTGGAACAGAGTGAGCCAAGAAGAGGGGATGGAGGTAGGCCACATGGGGCCTCCAGGGAGGTGTGGATTCAAATTGAGGGCAATGGGGAGCCATGGGAGTGTCTAAAGCAGGAGAGGGTATGATCTGACCCATGTGAGCATCTACACGTGTGTCTCAGCCCCACCCTCCTTTCTCTACCTGAGCCCTCCATGGGGACTTGGGCAAGTCATCTCTCCTCTCCGGTCCTCAGTTTACTCATCTCTAAAGTGGGCATAAAAGCACCCATTTCCCTTCTCTCTGGGGCCACCTGGTAGCCAGGGAAGGGATACTCATAAGGGGGAAATCAAGGCAGTGATGTGCTAAAGGTACCAGAAACTGCTGGGCACCTCCTCAGGCCATGCAGCAACTCAGGTAGGAATCAGGGTGGGGGTCCTTCTGGCCACCCCTCTTTCGGCTTTGGTCCCTGACTCAGTGGGGTTTGGGACCTCCCAGGGTCAGATGGGCCAGGCTTTGAATGCTTAGTCCTGGCTCTGTGACTTCCCCTTTGTGGCTGTTTCTACATCCATAAAACTATTAGTAAAATATTACTGTTAAAACTATTAATAAAACATTTATAATTGAATTTATTAATGAAATACTAATAGTAAAACTATTGATCAAATATTAATATCAGGGGAGGCTGTGGGGCTGCAGAGGGGATGAAGTGGGAGAGGGCTCAAATGACCTGGTTCCTGTAAACTATGGCTGTGTGACCTCAGGCAATCTTTGTGCCTCAGTTTTCCCATCCTTGAAATGGGAATAACAGCCTCCACTTTACAGGCTGTCTCTGAAAATCAAAGGATTTTCACAGTCACAGCCCTTGGCTCAGGACCAGGTGACTTAAAAGCCCTGATTTGTATCATTTTGTCTATATACAGCCTTCCATTTTATGTCCATGACATCAGGGGAGGGACTATGACTCATTTTCTTAAGAACATGGGACCATTGTTAGCCCCTCCTGCAGGCCTGGGGTGGTGTCAAGGCTCTAGGATCCTGGCTCCAGCATCTCCTCCAGGCTGATCCTAGTGGCCTCTGTCCCTTGGGGACTGGCTATAATTAGGTCCGGCCCCAGCAGCTACAGATGGTATTTTTGTCTTGGGGACAGTGAGGTCTGGTTCCCACCAGGTGTCTGATTGCTGGGCTGCAGGATTTGGAGGGGGTTCCTGGCCAGGCCCCAGGGACTTGCAGTCTTCCTGGGCTTCGTAACCTCTCTCCAAACCTGTTTTCTCCTCCGTACAATGGGGAGAATGTTTTCAGCTTTAGAAGGTTGCCTCAGGCTCTCCCGCTGAAGCCCTGATAGATGGGATTGTATCACAGATTCTCCAGGATTGCCAGAATCATGGGTGCCATTTCCAAAACTGAAGCAGTCCCCCCTGGCATGGCCCAGTCTGGGGGGTGGGTGTCATCCCATAGCAAGGGGCACAGTCAGGCCCAAAGCTTTCTGTGTGAGCTTGGCTGGGAGATCACCTGGGACCTTGCCTGTGACATGGGTGTTCCAGATCCTTCTTCTGCATGTGACACCCTCTGTGACTCGGTTTCCTTTTCTGTAGGATGGGATAGGGCCAGCCTGACCCCAGCATTCCAATGATAGAGCACCTGGTACAGACTCCTGGAAGCTCAGATACCAGAGGCCCTCTTCCCAGCCCAGTGGGGTCCTTCTGGGGGCAGGGAAGCAGCTGAGGCTTCCCAGGACGGAAGGCTTGGCAGGGGTGGAGTGCGGATGTTTGTCCGATGGAGACAGCAGGAGAGGGGAAGGCATCCAGAGACAGGGCCTGGGGAATGTCAGAGCGAGTGGGGGTCACGTGGGGACTTGGGGGGGTGCTAGGAGAGGGGGAGCTGGGTTCCAGCCCCGCTGCCCTACAAAGAAGCCTTGCGCCTGTTATGACCTCTCTCCAAGCCTTAGTTCCCCCATCTGACAAAGGATTCCAGGCAGCCCTTTGGTGGCTGCAGGCCTCAGTTTATTCATCAGGAAAACGGGCAGAGGAGGGCTGGTAACACTGTCCTATGGGATCTGGACAGCCTCTTGGCAAACCCTGTGCCTCGGTGACCTCTCATAATGGAGGGCAGGGCGGCTGAGTTGCTCTGGGCACCTCCCTATCTGACTTCCACATCTCACTGTCTTCAGCCCTCGTCAGCCCAGTAAGCTGCGCTATTGGGAAACACACAGAGGTAAGTGGCCTAAGATCCACGTTCTGCGTCCCAAGGGGCCACCCTCTAAAGAGTGGGAGCAGAGTCGCCTCTGACTCCGTGCCTCAGTTTCCCCGCTTGTTCCGGGGGTCACCAGGGAGCGGTCCAGCGGGGAGGCGGAGCCGTGCGCCCTCTGCCCCCTCCCCCCTGGGCCCCGCCCCCGCGGCTGTCCAGAAAAGGTCCCGCGCAGCCCGGCTCGGCCCAGCCTCCACGCGGTCCTGGCGATGCAGGGACACCCCGCGCCCGCCCCAGCCCCTGGGCCCAGCTCCCCCCGGAGTTCCCCGCGCGGCTCCCCCGGGCTCTTCAGGAAGCTGCTGGTGAACCAGAGCATCCGCCTGCAGCGGCGTTTCACCGTGGCCCATCCGCTGTGGTGAGGCGGGTGGAGGGCCTGGGAGGGTCGGCGGGACGGCCCGGGGTGGAGGTGGGGAGGGCAGAGACAGGGACAACTGGGGCCGAGGCTTCCTGGTGTCTTTCTTCCCCTGCCCTATCTTCTCTGGCCGTCGTCGACTGTCTCTCTGTCTTCCTCCATCCGCCGGGGCCTGGCAGGGTCGGCGGGACGGCCCGGGGTGGAGGTGGGGAGGGCAGAGACAGGGACAACTGGGGCCGAGGCTTCCTGGTGTCTTTCTTCCCCTGCCCTATCTTCTCTGGCCGTCGTCGACTGTCTCTCTGTCTTCCTCCATCCGCCGCCTGAACACACGCCCAGGGGACCAGCCGTCTGTCCCCTTCCAGCTGTGTGGCCCAGAGCAGGACGGGCTGAGGCTCACGTCTCCTGAGCCTCTCTGGGGCAGGTGGGCTGTGCGTCCTGGCGGTGGCAGGAGGAAGGGCATCCCCGTGGTCTCCTCGACCCCCACCCCACCATTCGTCCTGGCGACAGCACCGAAATGACCCGGGGGCCTCACACTGAGCCCTGGGTGTCCACAGAGGAGGACCAGGTTGGACGGGGCCTCGGAGGCAGGTGTTCGGGGGTGTAGGAGGGCGAGCGTACGTCTCCCGGGCCGAGAGCGGACCCGCGTTGACTGCGCGCCCGCTCCCCGCAGCCCCGTGCAGGCACATCCCCTAGGGGCTCGGTGCACCGTTTGGATTCGAATTCCCGCCCCTCGGGAAGCGGCCGTGACCTCGTGGGGCGGAGAACGGGGCCAGGCTGACGTCGGGGGCGGGGAGTGCTGTGGGCGCCCCCTGCGGTTGGTACTCTGCAGCCCAGAGGCTCAGCGGCGGGAGCTCCCTTCTCCAAGGTCACACACGGTGACGGCTGCGGGGGAGGGGGCGGGCGTGACTGTGGTCCCTGGTGGCGCCATCTCAGCCTGGGAGGGGGGTTCCGGGTCCCACAGAGCGGCCTCAGGGACCAGACACCGGCGAAGAGCGGTCCCTTCCGAGAGCTCCGTCGAGGGAGCGTCCCTGGGTACCAGAAGGTGAGGCTGGAGAGCGCAAGTCCGAGGCCCGGGGCTTCCGCGTCTCGGTGCCTCCGTTTACCCGCCCGGCCGATGCGCAGCCGCGCCGTTCCCACAGCCCGGGCGACCCCGCGCGCGCCGCCCGCGTCATGGAACCGCCGCCTGACCCCGCGCTCCCGGCTAAGTTTAGAGCAGGAGGAAAACAGCCTCCTCCGGCCCCTTAACCCTACGCGCTCGGGATGCGGATTCGAACCCGGCACGCTGAGGCTGTTCCTGGTCTCAGTTTCCCTATTTGTCCACAGGCGTTATTTCCCAGAACCTTTGGAGAAAAGGGGAGAGAGTGGTAGAGGTCCCCACCCGCGGGCCTCCCGGTCGGAGGGCAGGTTTGGGGTACCCCAGCCACCAGTTTGGGGTATCCCCGCCTGAGACACTCCGATGCTGCCACTGCGCCCATGCGCGACACTGCCTCGGCAGAGGAGCATTAACAAGCCCCGCCCCTGCGCGTGACGTCATGGGGCGGGGGTGGGGGGGTGGGCTTTTCTCGGAGCCGGGCGGAACAGACCGAGTGGGGCCGGACGAAGACGAATATGCCCGAGCCGGCCCGAGCGCCATCCGGACTTACTCGAAGCAGGCCCAGCGCAGCCGGACTTAGCCGAATAAGCACGAACTCATCTGAGCCCGCCCGAATGTAGTCGGAAGTAGCCGAACTCGGCCGAACTCACCCGACCGAACTCTTCGGGGCCAAGGCCAAGCCTGAGTAATCGACAGAGCGGGATCGAGTCCTGCCGAATCCCCCGCCCCCACCCAAATCTGAGCTGGATCCAACCTCCCCTGCTCAAAAGTCACGGCAGGGGAGCAGGGGAACACCGGCCCTTGGCCAGGAGATCAGTTTTGGTTGGTCCCCGGTGTGTCCATGTCTCTGCCGCTCCTGCCCGCCTTCTCAAAAGCTCGGGACCCGCAAGCACCCCTCCACGCTCGGGACCCACAAGCACCCCTCCACCAGGTCGTCCACCCCCGCCTCCGCGCCGTAGTCCTTTGTCTGACCTCTGATCCCGAGAAAGAGGGCATAGATCCCTCTGCTTAGTCAGGGCGTGGCCGGAAGGAAGGACAGACTTGGGGGGCTGAATAGAACAGGTGGTGTTGGGAAGTAGGGCGGAGCTCCGGGAGAGGGCACACCTGTGCAGAGGCCTGAGGTGAAGAGAGTAGGCGGGGAGTTCAGGTTGAAGACAGAGCCGGGGGTGTGGCCTACTGGCTGGGGGTGGAACCTCGAGAGCTGGGGGCGTGGCCGACAGACGGGATAGGGCCTACGGGTTGAGGGTGGAGCCTCGATAGTTGAGGGTGTGCCCAGGTGGCCCAAGGGTGTGGTCAAGCTGGCTGGGGGTGGAACCTCTCGGCTGTGAGGAGTCCTGCAGCGTGCAGGAGCTAGGCAATACCCGAGCCTCCTCCAGGTGGAAGAGACCAGGAAGCCGATTGTAGTCCACGTGGACCATGCGACCTAGACCTCAGTTTCCCCCTTTGTAATACGGGCGCCCAGTCGTCGTCCTTGGGCACTCGCCTGTAATCGCCTAAAAGTACCCCCGAGGATGGAGTTTATCATGCCCACATTACAGGCCGGGTAGTAGAAGTCCAGAGAAAGGCGCGGACCTGCCCATAGTCACAAAGTCACTTTGGGGAAGATCTGGAACTCAGGTCCTGGAGTCCAGACTGGCCCCAGTAAGAGGGGCTCCGGGGTACAGACGCGGAGACGGAAGCGTGAGGGGTACTGAGCTCCTGAGTGAGGGTGTGGCTGTGAGGCAGGTGGGCAAGCTGTAAGCCACCCCCGCCGGACCGCCGTGCAGCCCCCGGGAGGACGTGGCAGAACGGGAGTCTACCACGACAGGCACCCAGCAGCAAGGCTTCTCATCTCTGACCATACCTCCTCTGCCTTCAGCTTTGACCTGGAAAATGGGCTGTCGCGCGAGAGAAGTGCCCTGGACCCTCAGTCCAGGCCTGGCCTGGGTCGGGTCGTCCAGGCCCCTGTCCCGCACAGCCAGCGGCGCGAGTCCTTCCTATACCGCTCGGACAGCGACTACGAACTCTCGTCCAAGGTCACGTCCAGGAACTCTTCCATGGCCAGCGACCTGTGAGTCGGGGCTGGTGGGACGACACCTCCTGGCACCCCCCTTCTTCCTTAGTTCCTCCATTTAGCAAACTCCTTCCAGTGGCCATTTGACCTAGGCTCTAAGGAGTTTAAGGAGTTTAAGGAGTTTGCCAGGCAGCTAATTTATTCAGTGTGCAGCAAGTGACATCAGGTGATCTGTGCTTGACCTTGGGCTGCGGTGGGGGTGGGGGTGGTAATCCAGAAACATTAAGGCCAATTAGCAACTGAACAAACACTTTCATTTGAGCTTCCTGGTAGCCATAGCGAAAAGGGAAATACAATAATTTCTGCCCTGCCTCAACTAAGACCACTACTGCCCATAGAACTCAGGTTTCCCATTTATGAGATGCAGATAAAATGAATGGTTGGCGGGAGGGCCTGTGTTGGCTCTCAGGGAGAGTTGGGTGAGGGGGGCCCAGGGCCCAGGAGGGCACCTGGAAGGTGCTCTTAGCTGAGGGCATGGTGTGAATAAAAGCTGAAAGATGGGAGTGTGTGGGAGCTCTCCCTCCCAGGCTGCTCTCTCTGATGGCTCGTCTCCCCTCAGACATGGAGAAGACTTGATTGTGACACCTTTTGCCCAGGTGGGTGCCTAACCTCCTCACCGCCACTGAGCTGCACAGGTAGAACTGACCCCTCCTTCCCAATATTGACCACCACCCTCCTGACAGGTCCTGGCCAGTCTGCGGACAGTTCGGAGTAATGTGGCGGCCCTTGCCCACCTGCAAGGCTGGGGGGCAGCCAAGTACACCGACAGCGGAGCAGAGGCAGGGCTGGCAGGTTCAAGGTGGGCAGGGTGGAGGCGGGAAAAGGGAGCTGCCAGTTAGAGCTGGGACTCTGTGGCCTCCAGATGGGGGTGAGAGGTGGGGCCAGATGGGTGGGGCGGGCCACCCCTGAACCTACTGTACCACAGGCAGGCATCTTTCGGGAACCTTCCATCCAGCTGTCAGCCCCCTCCACCTACAGGTAATGCTCCTGTTCCTCCCCCCTCCCCCCACTGAGGGGCAGCTGTGAACTTCCTCTCCATAGTGACCTCCAGTCCCTGATCCCTTGGACTGTGGTTAATTGTAACCCACCCACGCTCCCACACAACTGCACACACACACACACGTACCCTTGGGGATGGAGGCCACCCCACTCATATTACAGATAGGGAGGCTTGAGGCCCAGAGAGGGACAGAGACCTGCCCATGGTCACACGGCTACTTGGGGACAGATCTGGAACTTGAATCCTGGAGTTCTGAGTTGCCCCAGTGGGAAGGGCTTTGGGGTCCAGAAGCAGAGATGGAAGAATGAGATCGTAGGGTCCCCGAGTGGGGGTGGGGCACGTCCCTTACCAGCTTGGCTCCCAGAGGACACTGGACGGACACTGGCATTGGAGACACTGGACGAGCTAGACTGGTGTCTGGATCAGCTGGAGACACTGCAGACACGGCACTCGGTGGGGGAGATGGCCTCCAATAAGGTGAGGGGCCAGATGGCCGAGATCACCTGTCGAGGGGCAACTGGCCAAGGTGGGTCCCCAACCACAATGCTGAGACCCAGGTTTGAGCTTTGGCTTTGTTTGGATGTCCTATCTTGGGCCTCAGTTTACCCACCTCTATACTGGGCAGGTGGGGCTTAATGTGGAACCTGGGGCGGTGGGGAGGGGTCGAGGTTCCAGAGTCTGCAGAAGTTGGGCTACGGTTGAGCTCCAGCCCTTCACATTTTAGGAGCTGGAAGACACCAACAAGTGGGGGCTCGATGTGTTCAAAGTGGCAGAGCTGAGTGGGAATCGGCCCCTTACAGCCGTCATATTCAGCGTCTTTCAGGTAGTTCCCCTGCCCTTGGCTTCCAGTACCCCTGAGGTTTCCTTCATCCCTTCCTACGCCAAGACCTCAAATCCTCCCTGATAACACTGAATGGGATAATTTGAGCAGGGTATTGAAGAGTGAATAGGGGTTCACTAGGTTGAACGATTCATTGTCATGAGCCCGGCCCTGAAGAGACCCAGTCGGGAGAGAAAAGCTGGACACAGACACCCCTATCCTGTGGGGTCAGAGATGGACCAGAGGAGAAGGACAGAGACTGGGGAGTTCAGAGGGAGAGCAGGAGGGCGTCCTGGAGGAGGGGGCATTTGAGGGATGGATAGGTGTTCGGAAGAGAGGAGTAGGAACGGTGTACACGACAGCCCTAAGGCAAAGGCTCTGACTGGGGGCCTGTGATGGACCAGGAGCGGGACTTGCTCAAGACATTCCAGATCCCAGCAGACACGCTGGCCACCTACCTGCTGACTCTGGAGGATCACTACCACACCGATGTGGCCTACCACAACAGCCTGCATGCCGCTGATGTGGCCCAGTCCACACACGTGCTACTGGCCACACCCGCCCTCGAGGTACTGCACTACAGCTGCGGGCAGCCAGGTGGGTGCAGGGCTCAGGAGCCCCTGCCCGCCCCTCACCTCTTATACCCGTGCCCATTCAGGCTGTGTTCACAGACCTGGAGGTCCTGGCTGCCATCTTTGCAAGTGCCATCCACGATGTGGACCATCCTGGGGTCTCCAACCAGTTTCTCATTAACACCAGTGAGTCAAGGTGGGGAAGGGGACTGGGCCCTGTCTTCACCCTGTTGACCAGGTGACCTCAGGTCTGTCTGTCTCTGATCTGAGCCTGGTCTGTGAAATGCGTATGACAGGCTTCCCTCGCTCAGATGCTCAGAGTGGGTCCAGGTACACAGTAAGTGCTCAAGAAATGAGGCAAGGGCCGGCCTGTGGCTCACTTGGGAGAGTGTGGTGCTGATAACACTAAGGCCATGGATTCGGATCCCTATATAGGGATGGCCGGTTCACTCTCATGGGAGAGCGTGGTGCTGACCACATCAAGTCAAGGGTTAAGATCCCCTTACCGGTCATCTTTTAAGTAAAAAAAAAAAAAAAATGAGGCAGAGTTGACCTGGGTTCACTGAGATCTTAAGTTTAAAGTCCTTCGAAGAGTCTAAAAACTCAGTTGACATGCAATTATTGGATGCCTTTTGTATCCAAGCGCTGGAGTGCTGGGGATGAGAGTGGAATCCTCTCATTCAATGAGCCCAGAGTCTAAAAAGACCAAGATTCAGTCATTCATTCAGCCGGCACTCACCCGTGCACTGTCTCCCACCATGCTGGGTCCCAAAGGAGCCCCCCTAATCTTGGGTAGGCAGAGCCAAACACAGACATCCCTCACCCTGTGAAGTCAGGCACCTGGATGACTTCTTGGAGGAGGGGGCATTAGAGTTGGGGCTTTAATGCATGGGTAGGAGTTTGCCAAGGACTCCCAAAAGCTTCCTTTGGGTGGAATGGGTTGGGTGGGCAGGTCTCGAGGCTCTCAGCTTTCCCCACAGACTCGGAGCTGGCGCTTATGTACAATGATGCCTCCGTGCTGGAGAACCACCACCTGGCGGTGGGCTTCAAGCTGCTGCAGGGGGAGAACTGCGACATCTTCCAGAACCTCAGTGCCAAGCAGCGGCTGAGTCTGCGCAGGATGGTCATTGACATGGTGAGGCCATGGTGGTAGGTGGGGTAGGAAGGATGGGGGAGCAATTACTCATCGTCTACACACAGTAGGTTGAGGTGACTTTGGTATGGCTGGAAGTTCAGCCAGACCTCGGCGTGTCTGCTCTGAGCCTCAGTTTCTTTGTCTGCAAAATGGGGCAGTGACTTCCTGAGCCCTAGGTGGGGGTGAATAGGCTCTCCATTGGGCTTGTCAGATTCCAGTCATGAATTCGACACAGGATGTAGAAACTGAGTTTCTGGGGTTTCAGGTGCAACTTTTTCTAACCCTTAAATTAAACATATCTGTCCATTTGATTTTTTTCAGGTAGGGGAATACCAGTAAGTTTGGGGGTCTCACATCTCATTCATTCATTTAACAAGCATTTATTGAGCACATATTGTGTGCTCGATCTGTGCCAATGACCAAGACAATTCTGGCCTTTATGAGATTCACAGTTTGCATTGGAGATGGACACATAGGTGGTAGCTGTGATGAAAGACCTGTAGGCAGAGCCATGACAGGGGAGGTTCAAGGTGCTGTGGGATCCCAGACCAGCTGGAGAAGTTGGGGCGGGCTTCCCAGGGAGGGAGCACTGCAGCCAGGGCATGCAGGGTGAGGAACACTGCAGGATGGGGAGGAGCATTCCCAGCAGAGGGAACAGCATGCAGGAGGGCTCAGAGGAAGGCCAGGCTTGGAGTGAGAAAGAGCTAAAAGTTTGATGGGGTACAATTGGGGCCTTGAGCAGTGGGCACCTGCAGTGGTGGTGGTGGGGATGCATTTAGGACAGATGAGAAGTTTGGGAAGAAGTTTTAAGACTTTTGTCTGATTCTCAGGGAAGCCTGTGGACCACTTGTGGGTCACTCCCAAGCTGGGTCCTCACAGGTCTGGTTAAGCTGGTTTTTAAACATCTGTGCCCAGGGTCAAACTTCCCTCCAAATGGCTGAAAACAGGCCTCTGGGGCACATGGCAGCCACACAGAAGTTTGGGGAGCACCAAGTCAGGTCCCTCCCCAGCTCCAAACCCCTCTGTGGCTTCCTTGCTCTGACCACAACTGCCTCATCTATGTTCCTCCAACACACCCAACTCATCCAGCCCCAGCGCCTTTGCACAGGCTGTGTCCCCTCCACTACCCTCAGCACAAATCACCTCAGCTCCCAGGTTTAATCACCCTCCCCCACACCCTGTCACACATGTGACAACCTCAGAGAAGGGCCACTGACTGAGCCCCTCTTGTGAGCTGGGTTTGCAGTGAACTCTGTTTTATTCTCCCATTTCACAGATGAGGACGCTGAGGCTCAGAGGACTGAAGGTCTGAGCAGGTGTGGTGTCTGGGAGTAGGGAGTTAGGCAAGTTCCTTGTGCCTGTCACTTTCCCTTGCCTGCCCCCAGGTGCTGGCCACAGACATGTCCAAACACATGAACCTCCTGGCCGACCTCAAGACCATGGTGGAGACCAAGAAGGTGGCAAGCCTTGGTGTCCTGCTGTTGGACAACTACTCTGACCGCATCCAGGTGTGTGGCCAGGCGGGCCCAGGGCCTCCTTTTCTGCAGTTCTCTAGATGCATTTATGAAGCACCAACTGTATGCTAAGAAATAGCTAGAGTCAGGGGTGGCCCATGGCTCATTTGGGAGAGTGTGGTGCTGGTAACACCAAGGCCACGGGTTCAGATCTCTATATAGGGATGGCGGGTTAGCTCACTTGGGAGAGTGTGGTGCTGACAACACCAAGTCAACGGGTTCAGATCTCTATATAGGGATGGCGGGTTAGCTCACTTGGGAGAGTGTGGTGCTGA